TGCTAAATCGAAAAAGGAAGGCAAATTATTCCACAATTTCAAACAAATACGTTTTCCCTTTACAAAACATCTGGTTAGAAGTAAAATAAAATAGAACTAACATAAACATACATCAACAGGTAAAATGAAGTGCTTTGTATAAAGGAATGGCACATAAAACTTCTTCCTCACAACAACTCCTTACAAATAATTTATTCCACTCGCCCTTCCCTATAGTGTCTTCTGATGCACAATATGGCACAATAAAACACCTTAAACAAAACAGAACTAAAGAACATGACAATAGTACTCAATCTAGTCAACTCTTAGCGTAATGGCACTGACGTGAAACAAAAGGAAAAGTAACTCGAACAGCAGAGGTCCTCAATCTTTGGGCAAGACCCGGATCAGGTCGGTCCTCTGCGCCATCTTGACAGCCGTTTCGAGGGAGCTGAGGTTGGCGACGACTCGGCCCACCACCTTGAAGTTGGCGGCCAGCGGGAGGAAGAACTTGTCCTTCATGTCGTCGCACAGGATGAAGTAGTACTTGCCGCTGCTGCGCCCCACGCACACCGCCCCGCGCTCGATGGCCGCGTCCTCCGCGTCAGGCGGCTGCGGAGTGAAGGTCTGCGTGTGGCAGCTCTCCAGGCAGCGGTGGCAGATGGAGTAGCGGCGCCAGCCCTTGCCCCACTGCTCGCTGAGCGCCGCCCGGGGCGGCATCTCGTCGAACTCGATCGTCACGTCCGGGAGGGGGCCGCCCCGCGCCGAGGACACCCTGGCCGTCAGCGAGTACGTGATGTTCTGGCGCACGCACGGCGGCAGCTGGCGCGACAGCGCGTACGCCGTGAAGAGGATCAGCTTGCTCTTGTCGGCGGGGGCGCCATCGAGCTGCTGCGGCTGGTCGGCGCCGAGGTCCATCGAGAAGGAACGCCACTCGCCGCCGCACTTGACCTGTGAACGGAGGAGAGCATGAGGAGGGCGGGGAGGAGAAAAAGTGCGAAGGCGAGGGGCTGAAGAGGAGACTCACCCTGATGCGGGCCTCGGTGGCGTCCAGCACGGCCAGCGCGTCGCGCATGGTGGCGGTGCGCGACTCGGACGCCCTGATGGCGGCCTGCATGGCCTTGACGGCGTTGCTGTTGGTCACGCCGGCGCCCGCCCGCTCCTGGGTCACCCTCAGCGCGTCGGTCACGACGTCCGAGCTCGCGTCGTTCAGGTAGCCCAGCTGGTCCATGATCTGGTCCAGGGCGTCTCCCACCTTGGAGCGAGCCTCCTCCTCGCGGGCCAGCAGCGCCTCCTCGGCGCGCAGCACGGCCACGTACTCGGCCTCGCGCCGCGACAGCGCCGTCCTGGACGAGCACACCTCGTGCCCCTCCACGCACTCCACGCGCGGCGCGTCGCAGCAGGTCTCGCACCACAGCCTGCCAACCGCAGGAGGGGTGTGAGGCGCCCGCCGCGCCGAGGGAAGACCAGGACAGGTACTTGTAAGTATACTCACGTGCGCTGTACGAACTTCATGTCGGCCGTCTCCTCAAGCGCCAGGAAGTTGTCCGTCAGTCCGATCGGCTCGCATTCGAATGACTGAGGAAAGGTCGAAAAGGCGTAAGTGCATTAATACGCTCATCTGAAAAGTTAATGGACTAGTCCACGTACACTCCCCCTCCCCCCGTTCTTTTATTTGGCACTTGGATTGGATGACCCCAACTGCCCGATCACAATTATCACAATCATAACAATCGATTGTTCCGGCGACTTTCCACTTGGTACCACTACTGCATAAATATAGCGCATTTCCAAACTGGAAAGGATACGCGTATGAAATGTATAGAAGCATGACTCACCGTTCTGCAAGTTGGACACTCGCTGGATTGGAACAAGAGCAGGCATTGTAGACAGAACGTGTGGCCGCAGGGTGTTATCTTGGGCCGGCGGTCGCTAATGTCATAAGGTTCGTAGCATACAGGGCACTGCATCGCACTCTGTGGCAACAAATACAACAGCGTTACTGCAGATCCGCAGGAGCGGTGGCGATTGGCATGGCAAACTCAGGAGCGAGAGCGACCCGAGTTTAACACAATAGCGCTGGTAATGCACTGCACATGTCAGGTGTCAAACGGGGGCCCCGGCTGTGCTGAGTTTCAAGACACATATGACAGGTCGGGTGTATATGACAATAGACCATGACCTATGACAACATTACGACAGATGCCGATGTTCGCCCTTCAAGGTCAGAGTGCGATGAAGAACAATAATAAACATCGGGGCCCGGTGGCTATGGTTGTCACCACTATCTAGGTTTTTTGAGGAGGTTAGACGGCTGCAGGCCAAACGCAGACACTTACCCAGGGAAGCACGCCAGGAGATATCCCTCTAGCGATACGGGCAAATCAGGTTCGTATCCCAAGAGCCAGAAGCAAAGGTTAAAAGCGACGTGGTACAGATTGAGGACCCGTAATTCGGCGAAAGACGGCAACAAGCGACGTTCGGAAGGCATGGTGACGAATTTAGGCTGTCCGAGGCGATGCACTTTCATCGCACGTCTGCCAACAGCTCGGCGAAAAGCGAAAATTCGACCAGTGTCGTAAAGGGTGTTGGGTGACGACAGCACAGTGAGGGTCGGATAGAAATACTTATATTCATTCAATAAATAATGAGTGACCACCTTGTCTGCACTTCGAACATGTCGCAGCAAAGATTGCACGGTCAGTTTGTCGTTTCATGAGTTGTCAACCCTTTTCCGTCTGCTTTCTGCTTTCCACCTTTCAATCGCTAAAGGGAAGGCCAAAACAGGAAGTTCCGTTTTGCGTGATAAAGTGGCTGAAGCAAGACAGACGGGCGATAAGACCCAGCGACCTTCAGTTTCCCACATTATAAGGTCAGCCATTGACAAAAAAACTGGCCGGCCGGTCGAGACAGTCCAGCTCCGGAAGCAAAATATACTGGCGCAAAGGCAAAGAACGTGTATCTACAAATTCAGAAAGGTATCAAATTTTTACTAAAAATCTGCATAATAGAACTGAAAAGTTGATCTTCATTATTTAAACGATACAGGCGCGGTCTTGTGTGGAGGGGCGAAGGGGCGATCCCCCCCCCCTCCCCCGTCGGCACAGATCGCCCCCTGGGGTAGGTAGGCCATTTGTCCGACAAAATCCCTGAAAGTAGGCAACCCACAGCACTCAAATCCGCGCCTGAAACTATAGAGGCGGGAAGCTCTCGACCAATCGGTAACGTTTATGTTCTACCTGCTATTCTTCTTCTTCTTCTTCCGCCAGTCGAAATTCACTCGGCTTATCAAAACTGGAATTGGAACGTCAATCGGAAATCTTAATCAAAACCGGAACGGTAATCGGTAATGGGGGAACTTTTACCCTCGGGTAGAGACAGCCAGTGCTAGCTTTAGCGCCTCGCCAAGCTCATGCACCCTGTAATTATCCTGACTTGATGACGTTTGAGGAATGCCATGTTGACTCGTTAGCGGCGCGAGGGCTGCGTCCGGGCGGTGGCGCCAGTGGCGCGTGCCCACGGTGCGAGGCGACCGCTCTCGCGCGCAGCCGCGCAGCCCTCCCGCCGCGAGGGACTGCGAGGACTGCGTGCCTCGACGATGGACTTGCGCCAGTCCAGGGGCGCAAGTCGAGGGTCGAGGCTTGGGGGGTCGGCCATGGTCAGGGCGCAACTTTTAATACTTTTGGTTCACGCGACCCTCGTCCCCGACACGATCTCGCGAGGGTCAACCTCCTGGACTACCCGGAGACCAGCAGCCGCCAGCCCGACCCGAGGGATGGCCCCGAGGTCGACCCCTAACCCAGCCCTCCTGCCCAACTTGAAGGTCCCCCCTCTGGTGGGGCTCGCCGTCCCCGTTGACGTGTGGGAGAAGGTCGCCAGCATTCTCTTCCCGAACGCCGGGTCCATCCAGGTAAAGCAGCAGCCGAGTTTTGGTCAGCCTAGTTCCGCTACGGACACGTTCTCCTCGACACTCCACAGATCTACTGGGTGAGGCTGACCGCCAGGGCTCACTCGGTGCGGGAGCGGGAGGTGACCGAGGTCTTCAACACCCTGTGGGTGACCGTGGCGGCCTCCATGGGCAAAGAGATGGGCTTCCCCTACGTGCTGTGGACAGTGTCCGAGGGTGTGGTGCCCGTCGGCGTCAGGCAGTACGTCGACAGGCACCGCGAGGACAGGCTGGGGGAGTTCTCGCTCGTCATCGCGGCCTACACCGAGGAGCGCGACGACAAGGGAGACCTGTCCCTCCGGCAGCTGCAGCGCCTCGACGTGTGGTTCCCAAGGCGAGTTTCTCTTCGATCTGGCTTGAATAACGCCCTAGAGTCCATGTCGTTTGATTCAATTAAAACTCTACGATCCAGGTCGTACTACATCGTGCTGCTGGACACGTGGTCCCTGCCCCTCGCGCGCCGCTGCGACGAGTCCCTGGCGCTGAACGTGTCGCTGGCCGTGTGGCTCTCCAACATGACCACCGTGGGCGTCGTCCTGGTGCGCTGCCCGTGGAAGATCGTGCTGCACGACCCCTTCGTGCTCGACCCCAAGAGGCGTCGCACGGTCATCCACCAGAGCAACGTGACCGCCCTCGAAGACGTGGTTGGTGACCGGCGCTTCCGCAACTTCCACGGATGGGCCTGGCCCATCTCCATGCTCGAATAGTAAGTGGTCAAGAAGTACATTTATCTATCAAATTTGAGGCGTTGGGGCGGAATATTGAACAAGGCCTTGTTCCGGGCATTACATTACTTTCTCCATGTCTATGTGAACGCGGGCCCCTTCTTCTGCTAGCGCACCGACGCTGATGCGGGCAGAGGACGGCTCATACTACGGGATAGACGGCTCGGTGTTCATGGCCGCGACCAAGTACTTCAACTTCACGCCAGTGATCGATCAGCCGGCAGATAAGGAGCCGCTCGGCTACAGCGATGACGGCAAGACAGGGACGGGCACGCTGGGCAAAGTCATGTCGGGCGAGTCCTGGATAAGCTTCAACAGCAGGTGTGCACCCCCCCCCCCTCTTTTCTCCCTGCGACAGGTCGCTGCAGTGGGGTATACATTGTGCGAATATGGCTTTGCCGTGGTCGCAGGTTCCGCAAGGACTACAACACGAAGGACATCGACTTCACGTACCCGTATTCGTTCGACGAGCTCTGCGTCATGGTGCCCCAGGCGGAGCGTATCCCGAACTACATCACCATTTTCCGCATCTTCCGGATCGAGGTGTGGCTGACGGCGCTGCTCGCCTACCTCTGCACGGCGCTCGCCGCGCACTTGCTGGACCGCGCGCACGCCGCGCGCCGGGCCCGCACCTTCCGCCGGCCGGGGCCCTGCGGCTTGGCGTACAGCGCGTTCCTCCTCATCATGGCCGGCTCCATGGACACGTACTCCGGCGTCCGGGAGATCTCGTCGCGAATGCTGTTCGGGGCAGCGCTCCTCTTTAGCCTCAACTTCATGGGCGCCTACCAGGGCTTGCTGTTCAAGGCGCTCACCATGCCCCAGTACTTCCCGCAAATCGACTCGATGCTCGCCTTGGCCGACTCGGGTATAGCGATCACCACGCGCTCCACCTCGCTCGTGGATACCTTCAAGGCCGACAACGCGATCATGACGCGCCTGCAGACTAATTTCAAGGTACCCGCGGTCAGTTGCGATGTCAGGGCTGCACGACACAACAGTGTTGCGCGTACGGGAAGAGCGAGTACGCAAACCCACCTAGCCCTGACACGCCAGTGCCGCACATTCTACTTTAAAAACGGTTTTACCCTCTCTCATCATCGCTCTGCCCCAACACTTTGCAGCTCGTCCCGAAAAACTGGACGACGAACATCCCGGTGTCGAGCCTGGCACGGCGCAATGGCGCGTACCTCAGAAAGGAGAACGCGAACTTGCACCTCGTTGAAGAGTGTCCAAGAAAGTACCAGCTGGCCTACATCGTCCACCGCAACTTTCCCTACATACACCAGATGAACATCTTCCTCTTGCGGTGCATGGACGTGGGCCTCATGGACAAGGTTCTGTTCGGGAGCCCCCCCCCCCCTCCCCGACAAAAGTCGACGGATGTTCAATGAGAGGCATTTCTGTTGTGCAGTGGTTCAGAGACACGTACTTGGGGAGGCCGCCCTCGTCAGCTGAGGACGATATGGTGCTGTCGCTGTTCGAGGTGGAGGGCGCCTTCTTCCTGCTCGCCATCGGCGTCCTGGCCAGCTCCGTTGCCTTCTCTGCCGAGCTGCTGCACAGCCGCTGCCAGCGCGGGCGCGCGCCCCGGCCGCGGCGGGCCCCGAGGAAGCGCCACGCCGTCGCACGGGGGCCGATCAGGCGGGTGGCGACCCGCGCGCCCCGCCCCTCCGAAACTCGGGATAAAGGGGCGCTCGAAGGCGTGGTTGTTCATTTTATTATGTAGTAAAAGTTTACTCATTAAACCTGGCCATACAATTAACTGCCGCCCCCGAGGTGACGCAAGGGATCGTTGAGCTACCTGCTGGGCGCTCCAGGCGGGCCACCGTCGCCACACGGCTGTTTGGCGGGTTGGCCTACCCAGCACGTAGTAGGCGCTGTCCTTCGCATCGCCTCGTTCACGTTTATTGTGGAGACACCTTGACGGAACAGAAACAATGTCAATTCGGGTGGTTACAATGTGTATACTTTTCTTTCTCCCAATTTCCTACCAAACTTTCCGTAGCATTCCAATTCAAACTTTCGCACCAGCCAACTGCGGATAGTATGTGGGCGTTTCCACCTCCGGACTGCAAATATTCCCCCTTCTGCTACCTTGCTGCTACCGTGCCAGTGTCGTGCGCATAATGCGAGGCCTCTTTTTGGGAAAGCTATAATGAAACATAAAGTTCGAAGCCGATAAGAAACACAGACATCATTCGGCATCAGCCATGGATGAAGTCGACAGAATAATCATTCGTTCTCTAAGGGAAATTGGCTGGTAAGTTGGAATATACCTGGATCTTGTGCGTTCGCCGCATATGTCAGGTGTCAGTTAGGTCCTGTCTGCTGTGAATGTTGAGGTTATTCTTTTTGTTTACTTCATGCCCGGCTTTCATTTCGTGTTTTACATTACAACCAATATCGTGTCACAACCAGATCATAACGCTTTTGCTGCCTTTTGAACAATGCTTATGTTCTCCTGCCTAAATGACATTCAGTGTTATTTTGTGGGACCCATCATATTACCTCCTAACTTGCACAGTTTGATGTTAGCTATGTATTTTTTCCTTCAAATTTCCATTGAAAGACAATTGTTCTATTATGTTTCATTTCTTAGACACATCGCTTCCCTCCTTAATATTACTATATCATGTACTTTTACTCGTTTTAGTGACATTGAAGAAGGAGTTGAGTGTTTGAAGCAATTTTCAACCGAACTTGTGGTTGAAGCTGCAGCAAGATGTATCGAGGCCATCCAGCCAGGATCTGGGATCCCAACATCTCTACCACCATCAATGTCAATGCGATTCAGAATTGGTGCTGCTATTGCTCAAGCATGCACAGTATGTGCCCTGTTTAATATAAAATGCCGTCTTAACGATTTATCCTCTTTTATTATTATTGCCAACTATGTAATTATTTCTTTTAATCCCCTAGGATATGGGGTACGGAGGAGAGGTTGGATACCAAACCTTTCTATACTCAAACGAAGCTGATCTCCGTAGGGTATTAATGTTTCTTATAGAAAGGTTGCCTAAAGATGGACAGACAGATAAAGTAGTTCAGGAGCCTACCAGTAAGTTAAATTTTCCTGCAACCCAAAAAATAAGATTCCTTCCATGAAATATTATATTTATTTAACAACTTTATTATGTTTTCAGGTAGATCAGCCAAAATAAGGAAGGATATTAGTTTGACCATCACAAAGCAGCTATCAGCACCATGGGTTCCAAAGTTTTGCCGTGTTGATGGTATCAGATGGCATGAAGATGGATCTTTCACCAAAGAAGGGGGCAGTTGCTCCCCATTTGTGTCTGAACCTTTACAAACTGGAAGTACTAGCCATGGGTGCACACCCCAAGGTAAATACACAGCTATCCGAAAAATTGGTGTAATCTAATAATTATGAACACTAACCATAAAAACTCACTTCCAGAATGGAGAGAATATTGTGTGAAATATCTTCCCTTTGTGTCGGAACAAGTATCGGCTGCAAATCGTCTCATTCCCTCCCTCATAACTTTGAACTCAAGAGGAATTCTTGCACCAAGCCAGCAGCATCCACCTCCAAAGGCGGAAGAACTTCGGAAAGCAAGAAGTGCACTGTTGAAGGCAGAATCACATAAATTAGCTTCTCAGAGCTTTGAGGCTCAAAGTTCATATGAGTCAAGTGTGAAATTGAGCTCTAGATTTGCCCTGAATGAAAGACTTCAGTTCATACAAGTAAGTTTTTAAGGTCACATTCATTTGTATTAACACATTATATCCTTCGATTAGAGATAACTTCCATTTATTCAATCATCTTTCAAAAAGGAAAAAAGTCCAGAGAAGAAAAAAATGGTAATTCAGGAAAACACACAAACTGAGTCTGCCTCTGAAACTGCAGAAGAAAGACAAAAGAGACATGAGGAAGAGGAAGAACTTGCAGTGGAGAAAATGAAATGTGAAAATGATGAACTGAAGGATAGAATAGAGCAGCTTCAGCTAGATATGAAGACACTGTCCGCCAAATTACCTCAGGTTAGAATTATATTTATATACCAAGGTCTATATTTTAAAAGTGTGCTGTGGGATAAACTATTAGTAACTCATACTTACCCAGGTGCTGGAAGAAAGTGATATTGCAGAACGCACATTAATGGATGCAGAGGCAAAACAAGCAGTTCGTCGGAAAGTTTTAGATCTCCTCCCTGATCCAGAAGCAAATATTGCCAAACTTCAGGCAATGATTGAAGCAAGCACACAAAAATTGGTCAAGCTGGCCACTCAATGGGAGGAGCACCGAGCACCACTGCTGCAGCAGTATAGACTTGCACGTCAGCTTAACTCAAGCAAAGCTGTAAGCCATGCTCTAAAGTTTGTAGTTCATTTTTTCTTTCTTTTCTTCCAGTACATTTACTTTTCAATTTCCTTTATTTTCAGTCCGAGAGCGCTCGTACAGCAGAAGCGCTCAGAGTAACAAGAGAAAAAGTGTCTGAATTGACAGAGGAAGTAAGAAACAAAGAACAACTGCACACACTTTTGCAAGCAGAATATGCAAAAGTAAGCAAGGACAACAGTAGGTGAGTAAAACATCATTTTCTATATCAAAGGTTATGCAAGTCTGGGTCTTTTAAAAATACAGCTGTTGGGGTGTTTTTACAAGGTCTGCGTACACAAGAAGAATAATGGAAATCATTGGTAATATCACAAAACAAAAAGATGAGATTGATAAGATTTTGAAGGACACCAAGGAACTGCATAAGGAAATAAACTCATTAGCTGGTCGGTTAGATCGATCCTTTACTGTTGCTGATGAAGTTATTTTTCGAGTAAGTGTCTCAAGCAGGTTCAATTATATTTTTCCTTCTTTTAATATAACTGCTCAAACTTGCATTTCTAAAAAGTATTTTTTTCTGTATAGGATGCTAAAAGGGATGATGTTTCAAGGCGAGCATACAAATTACTAGCAACTTTACATTCCGAGTGTAGCGAACTTGTGAAAATGGTGGAGGAAACTGGTGCTAATGTGAGAGAATCAAGAGATCTGGAAGACCAGGTACTTTCAACTACTACTTTTGTTTGATCATAAGCTGTTCTGAACAATTTTTAAAGATCTTTATTTTTTTCTAGATTGAAACTGAAAGTGCTAAAAAGGTTAGTGATAACTTGGAGAGAATATCGGCAGATCTTCGGCAAATGAAGCAAGAAACTGCTAGTCTTGCTGCTCAACTGAAGACAAAAGCTCAGTAATAAAGGTGCAGTGCTCAAAAAAGTAGAGTAAAGATCATTTTCATGTATTGTGAAATTACCTGTCCTCACGGAGCACATTCGTTGTAATAGACTTTATAAAAACATAACAGGATTTAAAGAAAAAAGTTATTCATATCTGTAAACATTATACAAATGTTATTGTACTTTAAAGCCATGAACTAATCCTGTGCCTTATTTTTAACACAGTGCTCAGAACTGGACAATATTTCATACATCTTTTTTATGAAGTCATTAGAAAAGATAGTAATCAGTTCTCCTTGCCATGATTATGTTATTACCTCCAGTGTGATTAGTTGTATATTTTTTAGTAACATCTGTTAACTTTGTAAGTTAAATCTTATTTTCTTGTGTAGAAAGCTAAGTTCAAGTCTCAAATGATCTGACTGACAAAAAGCCTCATGGCTGACTCATGTGATATTACTTCGGAACATGTAAACTTCACTACCCTTTTCGTGTGCTGACCACTTTTCTCTACGCCTTTATCATGCTGGTCCAATTGGAATAGGTCCAATTAAATATTTTCTGGGGAGATACTAATCATTTCTCCCCTTTTAGTGCATCTGTATCTACCTAGCAATATGATTCCAGGGTATATGGATGTTTTTAAGCAGTAAGTATAGAAAAGGATAGTGTCAAACTGGAAAGCCTATTAAATGTGTGTTACACTTTACTATTATAGACTGTTTATATGCATTTAGAAATCAAAATAAAACTATTCATAGATTCATATATTGTGATGAACACATTTGTATCTTATTCTTTTCCCATTTAAAGTCTAATGCAATATTACGTATATACCTTGGTCAAATATATTTGGCTTGAATTTTATGGGAGCCCATGGTCCTGCTGTAAAAATTCTGTAAGTATACTTACCTACACCTTATGTTTGTAGGTTTTGCATCAGTGCAGAAGAATGCTCTTTTAAAGA